TTATGCATTTGGTTGCAGAAGTACATTGCTGGCTAATCTTAGCATCTGTGATCCTGAAAAATAAGCAGTGAAGGAGTAAATGTTTAATTTTGTTGCTCATATATTTAAAACCTATGATCTTACTGATTTTGAAATAGAAACCTCTGTAAGACATGCTCTCTGTATGTACCTTTGAATCAGTGTTGACTCCTGGTGACTACTTAGACTAGTCCCTGCAGTTTTCTTGGCAAGATTGTTCAGAAGTGACTTGCTTGGTTGTTTTTTTTTTTTTTTTTAATTTTATTTGTCAAGAACGTTATTAGGTAATATATATAAGTATAAGCATGGATTGGATACATAAAATAGATATAAATAGAGGAAACATTAGGACAGGGATGGTAGGCACACTGGTGCGCTTATGCAGATCCCTTACAGATCTCTTAGGAATGGTGTGAGGTCAACAGCAGACAGTCTTAGGTTAAAATTTTGGGAGTTTTGGGATGAGACCACAGAGTCAGGTAGTGCATTCTAGGCATTGACCACTCTGTTGCTGAAGTCATATTTTCTGCAATCGAGTTTGGAGTGGTTCACTTTAAGTTTGTATCTATTGTGTGCTTGTGTATTGTTGTGGTTGAAGCTGAAGTAGTCATTGACAGGTAGGACATTGTATCAGATAATTTTATGAGCTATGCTTAGGTCATACCAAAGGCGGCGTAGTTCTAAGTTTTCTAAGCCCAGAATTTCAAGTCTGGTGGCATAAGGTATTTCGTTGCGAGCAGAAGAATGGAGGACTCTTCTTGTGAAATATTTCTGGATACGTTCAATTGTATTAATGTCCGATATGCAGTGCGGGTTCCAGGCAGATGAGCTGTATTTGAGAATTGGTCTAGCAAATGTTTTGTATACTCTGGTTAGTAGTGTGATATTACCGGAGAAGAAGCTACAAGATTAGGTTTACAACTCTTAATGCTTTTTTGGCGATGTTGTTACAGTGGGCTTTGGCACTTAGATCATTAGATATGAGTACTCCAAGGTCCTTGACAGAGTGAGGGTCATCTACAAGGACGTGTCCACTCAGCTTGTATTTTGTGTTCTGGTTCTTTTTGCTGATGTGTAAGACAGTCATTTGTAAGACATTTGTTGGTTGAGATTTGGAGTTGCCAATTGTTTGACCATTCTGACACAAAGTCAATGTCTTTTTGAAGGGTAGCAGCATTGTCGGTGGTGTTAAATACATCATTATATCAGCGAAGAGAACTCAGTTACTTATAATATGATCGCAAAGGTCATTTATATATGGTATGAAGAGTGTTGGTCCTGGAATGCTGCCTTGGGGGACACCATTATTAACAGATGCAAGATTTGATAGGGTGCTCCCCTATTTTGACCACTTGTCTGTTTGATAGGAATGCAGCTATCCAATTATGTAGGGGTCCGGAGATGCCATAGGATTTTAGTTTTAGAAGTAGTTTGTCATGTACCACTGAATCAAAGGCTTTATAGAAGTCTATGTAAATTGCATCTATTGCTTTGCCCTGATCGAGATTTGTAGTCCATATGTTTTTGCAGTGTAGAAGTTGTAGATTACAGGGTAATTTTTTTCTGAAACCAAATTGTTTATTAGAGAATAGGTTGTTTGTTTCTATGTGGAGGGTAATAGAATAGTTAATGATTGATTCCATGACTTTGCAGGTGACACAACATAAAGAGATTGGTCTGTAATTTTCAACTAGGCTGGGGTCTCCCTTTTTGAAGATAGGGATGACCATGGCTAGTGACCACAGTTTGGGTAGGGAGCTGGTTCTGAAGGATTTTTCAAAGATTATGCTTAGGGGTTCTGCTATAGCAGTGGAAAGCTTTTTTAAGAAGTATGCACATAGTCCATCAGGTCTGATAGATAGAGATGGCTTTAGTCTGCGTAGTGCCTTTTCAACATTATCTTCTGTGAAATCTATTTGTGTTAGATCGTTGTAGTTATTTGGTTGTTTGTTTTATATATCAAACTTCTTAACTGTCCATCTCCCTCATAGAGAGGATTCCACTGTTTTCCTAAAACTGAGTGAGAGACTGGCCAAGGTCACTCAGTTCCCTTTGTGCTTAAGGTAGAACCTACAGTCGCTCAGTTTCTAGCATGATACCTTAACCATTACACTAAACTGGTTCTCTGCAAGAGATGCTGTAGCAGGGAATTTTTTACATTGTTAGAAGGTTGGATTAGAAAATCTCAGAGAAGTCTTCACTTCTCTGATTATCAAAGTAGCTATTGGGAAAGACCTGCAATATGATCTGCTGTAAGCACTGGATTCTATGCTGTCATGTGCTTGGATTCGCTGCTATTTTAGAGGAGCTGGTTGGTCTAAGCAAAGTTATCTTAATCAAGATTTACTATTAGCAGGATAAGTAGCTATACAAGCCAGTATGCTGTTCACCAACATGTTTGTTTTTACATCATTTCATACAGAATAGCTAAACTACAAGCTTTGTCCTCAGTCTTAGATTCAATATTTAATCACATTTTTCAATTCTGACAGTGTGGTATAGTGACTAGCATGCTGTGAAAACATGTTGCTCTGCTAGGAAGCTCTGAGAGGGACATAATTATTCTTCTCTTTGTGGTTGCTTTCTGGGTGAATGAGTGGAAAAGCCAATCAGTACAGAGCTGACAGCATGGAGAGAGTCATCGAGGCATGGTTGTGCTGAACAGCATGGAGAATAAATGTGCAACTTGAACAGTGTTGCCATTCCAGTAACAATCCACTGTTCCTGATAATTATTCTACTACTGGGTAACTTTTGGACAAATTCCTTTTGGCCTAAATTACTTCGAAGCATTATGCTTTGGAGAAAAAGCAGGTTACAATTGTAACAGTAAGAGACAAAAAAGAGGAAAAAAAGTTTGACATTAAAAAAAAAAATAACAGAAACTTCCACATGAGAACCAATAGATCAAAAGAGAAGAAAAAGTAGAGTCATGTTACTTATTTTATTTCATGAAAAAAAAAATCAGTTGCTACAGAACCTAAGGGAAAAAAACACCATGGACAATCTCTTATAAATAAATAGGTTTTGAGCAAGTACAGTATATACGTTTCTCTGTAAGAACAGCTGTCAAGCAAATACACACACATACAAATAAAACAAACCCTGACATTTGACCAGGTTCTGTTTTTCTACTGAGTTGTCTTCCTACCTTGCATGCACGTTAATCCCCTATTGTGCCATCTAGGCCACTGAAAAGAATGATGTCAATAACAAATATGCAATTGCTGATAAAGCTCATCTCTGCTAGAACACCCCTAAGCAGCATTGTTGAATGCTGACGGGCTTTTAGTGAAAAAAATGCTAAATGTCAGCTTTAAGAAAGAGCTGGAATTCTGATTCATTACTGGGTTTTCCTTTTCAAATTTAGACTCGGTTTGGGTTGGTGGTTGTTTTTTTGTCATGTTCTTGTTCATGATCTTTATGGGTTCACTTTTATTTCAGTTTAGTCTTTTTAATCATAAGCATTTTTGGTATTAGTGCAAAGCCTTATCATTATAAGGACAAGGGGGTGGGGAAACTAGGCCTGGAAACAGTTAAATGCAAAGTAATGTAGCCTTACATCTTCTCACTAAGCAGCAAAGGATTAATGAGAATATGTAAGCACTCTGATCTTTTCAGACAGTATGGTGGTAACAATAATCAATTAACCCTGAAAGATCTAACTGGCAGGGTTTAAGTATGAAGTTGTTTGAAATGCCAGATTATCTGTGCAGATGATGCATTTGCTGTAAGAAGAGGAGGGTTAGACTACTTTGTAGTATAGGATCATAGACATGCTGAGCTTCACTGAACTCAGTAGGAATATTTCTGTGTAATGGATTTAAGAGTAGAATATTATTCTGATGCAACAAAAAATGTAATTGGAAATAACACATTTCCTGCAACATAAGCTCATATTACTCATCTTCTAGATGTTACTTTGTCAGGCCCATGGAGTTACCTTGTATAATAGTAACTTTACACATGATGTCTCTGAAATGGGAAGCTGAACAGAGTAAAATTGAATCAAGTTGGATTCCAAATGATTATATAGAAATAGCCATGCAATATTTTTGACATAAAAATTGTTTTCTTCTGACACATTTTTGAGTTGTCAGTTTAGTTTACAACCCTAAAATTCCCTGGTTGTCTTCCATTCAACACTAACCAAGCCTGACCCTGTTTAACTCTCATGTTCCTAGCTAACTACTAACCAGACCACCCATGCTTAAATTCTAACCACCAACTACTCAACTGAATGCTGCTGCATTACTGCATGTAAATAAACACACCCAATTCACTAACTAAATAGTTCAGCACTATGAAAATGTATATAGCAATTAATGTCTTCATTTATAAGGTGCTATATGAATCTTTATTTCAAGAATAAAAGTTGTGCAGTCACACTGGGCTGTTTAAATAGATTTTTCTGACTGCAGCAATACTATTCATTCCATACTTAGGAATTGATAATTATATCTTACTGTAGTATTGCAGTATCTTCGGCTATACCTGTAACAAGTAATTTACAAAGTTTAGCTTAGGTCACAATGTAGTCCTGTTTCCATGCATGAAAGAAATTTATTGGACAATCAAGAATATAAATGTGGAGAGGGGGTGATTCTGCCACTGCCACCAGGATTTTGTGGAAAGTCATTTGAGCATTAAAAAAAAAAGTCTACCTAAAGCTAAGGCCAGGCCAGCCCACTGTTCCCCAAATGTCTTCTACAAAAAGACACTGCAGATTTCTGATAGGAATTTTCTTGAGAAGAATTTTCTTCTCAAGACAGACATTTAAATGACACAATGACAGGCACAAAGAATAATACCATCAGTTTTTCAACATTTCTCTCTGATGGATCATTTACAATAAGTTATTTATTGAAATATTTCTCTTTTAGTATTTTTAAATATTACTTATTCAAACTAGACCAGTGGTGGGTTCCTCCTGGTTCCGCTGAGCCGGTAGCGGTGACAATATGAAATCACCGAACCGGTTCTGTCCCCCCGCCCCCACTGCATTATTCTTACCTTTTATTTGGCCCCATCCCCAATCTATTGCTGCCTCCTGAGTCCCAGCTGATCGGCTAGAGGGGAAAAAATTGTTTAAACTCTTGCCGCGGGGCTTCAAAGGGCCGCCCTACAGCTGATCAGTGTTAAAAGAAAACAAATGAGTAGACCGGTGCCTGCAAAAATAAATGGGTAGACCAGTGCCTCCAAAAACAAATGAGTAGACCGGTGCCTGCAAAAATAAATGGGTAGACCAGTGCCTCCAAAAACAAATGAGTAGACCGGTGCCTGCAAAAACAAATGAGTAGACAGCTCTGCAAGCAGTTAAAAGCCTGGTAGACCAGTACCTCTGCTAAATCTTAAAGAATTGTCACATGACCATCAAGCCATACCCACAAAATAAACCATGCCCACAGAACCGGTAGTAAAAAAATTTAGAACCCACCCCTGAACTAGAACCAACCATGTATAGACATACAATAAAAAATCAGAAGTTAAAATAGGTAAGATATAGTAATCAGTTTTGTTTTGTTTAATCAAAAACAAATTTTAAATTTGGGGAGAGAGTTATTCATAAAATTGAGGCAGGATGTTCAGAATATTAGGACATTAGAAATAAACAAACATTCTGGATCAGACCAAACAATCCATGAGAACAATGCATTTGGTTAGCATGGTACTATGAACACAGCCAAAGACTAAACAACCTCATTTATGATGGCAGTTCTTTTTATCTTCCATAATGAGGGGTAGCTGGTATATTAAAGTATTAATGAGAAAAGACCTTGTGTATTGCTTGATCATTGCTTTATTTTCAGGTTTAATTACTTCTTTTTAGGAGGTTGTGACTACAGATATATTTTGGTCATGGAGTTATCACTGTCATGAAAAAAATGGCACTTAACCAATGAGCATAAACTCTTTGCTTAGGAAGATACTACAAATGTAAGATAGAGGCTACAACCTAGAGAATCCAATTTTGCAAGGCAAGGACTTTTATCAACACAGTGAGGATTGAATGAAAACTAGTAGAGAAAGATTCTATTTTTAAGCTGCCCAGAGTCACTGAGAATGAGGAGGTAGCCATACAAATGTTCTAAATGAATAATTAAATGTCCCGTTATAATTTTTAAGTACATATACTGTATTCATTGCATGCTGAATTTTTTTATTAATTATGAATTCTTTTTATAATTTATTATCTTTAACCTCCAGATATTAATTTGCATGGGGCCCATGTTATAATTTTTAGTGACTGCTCTTAAGACATTAGATCATAAAAATTACTATCAATATCCAAAGTCATAGTACAATATAGATACTTACATTAAATTCAGAGTATTCAGATACAGGTAATCCTTGACTTGCAATCAAAATTGAGCCCAAAATTTCCATTGCTTAGCAAGACAGTTGTTAAGTGAGTTTTGCCCCATTTTACAACCTTTCTTGCCATATTTGTTAAGTGAATCACTGCTGTAGTTAAATCAGTAACATGGTTGTGAAGTGAATCTGGCTTTCTCTTTGACTTTGCTTGTCAGAAGGCTGCAAAAGGTGATCATGTCAGCCATAATAAATACATGCCAGTTGCCAAGCATCCAAATTTTGATCATGTGAATGTGGAGATGCTGCAATGGTCGTAAATGTCATAAGTCACTTGTTTCAGTGTCATTGTAACTTTGACAGTCATTAAACTAATGGTTGTAAATCAAGGAGTATCTGTATGTTACTTGAAGTCATGTTTTCTAATATTTTATTATTCTCACAATGTGAATAAATTCTTGTTTATTTCAGGTTTTCATTAAGACATTTTCCTACCATTACATTAATTACTTCTGGGTCACATGATCTTCATGTGATCATGTACAATGAAATGCACACAGTGAATGTATGATTAATAACACGTAATTTCTGTGCTTTTCATAGAACTTTCTCCACATAAGTATGAATTTTGTATAAATTTCAGCCATCCAGCCCAATGGTAGTAGTGTTTACCTGATAGAAAGAGACATTATGTTCAGTAAAACATATTTGCAGCTAAGAGTTGCACTTAAATGATGTCTTGGACATATTAGCTTTTAAATATTATCCTAACCTTAAATGTGTATTTTTTTTATATCTTCTCAACATTAATTGAAAGAGGCTTTGGGGATTCAAATGATTATTCCATCCAAAAATTTCTTCTCAACTTGTTCTTATCACTTCTGCCTCCTGCATTAAATCATCATGAAACAATTGATCTGGGTTAATTACTTTATTTCACTATTTAGAGTTCTAGCAGTCAGATTTTGATTCATTTAAGAAATAATATCTAGATCATATCTACAAGAACAACTTTCAAAGAAAAAAACTCTTAAATGTAAAAACCAACCAGCCATTATAATCATAACAAAAGTGAAATATGCACTGTTGCCTGACCTATTTCCAGCTAAAGAGATAAATAGCTTCAAACAATCTAAAAATCATGATGATGATGATGAGAAAGTAATGTAGCAATCCCCTTCAACTGGTGCACTTTCTGAAAACAAAGGCTACCAAAGTGTGGCAGCAAACCTACATATCTCTTTGCAGTTGTCTATTGGTGATCTGGATTTTTACAGCCCAGATCTAGTTCCAGTAACCCTAAAAAAACACTCCAGAGCAGACAAAAAGTGAATAGTCAGAGTTTAAAAATAATCACATTACTTTTCATGATTATATATAAATCTTTGCATATGTAAAATATAAACATAATTGTGCCTGGATATAATTCAATATTCTGTATATATGTGGGACATCGTTCTCCCTTTATCTCTTTCTTGCCTCCTATAATGTGTGAAATAACATAAGTTGTGAATACAAATACTAGGTGAAAAATCTAAAACTTAATACTGTATGTGAACGATCAAGAAATCCAAATCCTGTCAATGACTTAAGCCAGAAGACTTGATAATTATGCTTATATCCTGCAACAATACTTTTAATATTATTAAACAACAACATCTGCTATGCCAAATCCTTGGGAAGGACTAGATAGGTGGACAAAAATGACAAATCCACTTTATTATTAATACTGTATTAATTTATTAGTATAAAATTATTAACTTTTTTATTCATTAAACATGAAACTCAGTCAACTGAACATTTAAAAATGTGTCACAAATACCATTGACTTGTGCTAATGGCTGATACAGGTTGTTGTCATCATCACCACTACTATTCAACATCACATTAATTCTACTGACAATAATCCTATGAAACACAAAACTGGCATCCAAATCTCAAGCCACCATGACAGTACAGTAGATAAACCATCTACTGTACATAGATGACTTAAAAATGTATGCAAAAAGCCACACTGAACTTGAATCAATACTCAACACAGTTCAACTGTTCAGCAGTGACATCAAAATGAACTTTGGACTTGAAAAAGTGCTATATTATCCATGCAGCGAGGAAAAATAAAGAGAATAGAAAGAATAGAACTGGGAAATGGAAGCATTGTGAAAGCATTAGCAAAGGATGGCTACTTAGCATATACATAGGCATACTGGAAGCAGATAACATCTTGAATGGAAAAGTCAAAGAGTCAACACAAAAGGAATATATTTGGAGGGTCTGCAAAAAATTAAAATCAAAGCTGAATGCTGGAAACATAATTAAAGCCATTAATACACGGGCAGTTCCAGTGATACTCTACTCAGCTGGAATCATCAACTGGACTTTGGCTGAACTGGAAAGCTTGAACCAGAAAATGCACAAACTTTTGAATATGTATCACACTTTACATCCACGAAGTAACATTGACAGGTTGTACCTGCCAAGAAGAATAGGGGGCCAAGGGCTATTGCAAATCCATCAAACTGTAGAAGAAGAAAAATGAAGTTTGAATGACTATGGAAATCAAAGTACAGAAAAATTGCTACAGGCTGTGAAAATGGAAAACATTATAAAAACAACAGAAACAAAGGCAGAATATAAGGAAGAACAGCTGGATGACAGATTAAATGGATGGAAAACCAAAAGTTTACAAGGCCAGCACTTGAAAAACATTGAAGGAAAATGTGATAACAACTTGACATGGGTATGGCTTAAGATGGAACCATCAAGAAAGAAACAGAAGGTTTAATACTTGCTGCTCAAGAACAAGCACTACAAACTAATGCCATGAAGGCGAAGATACAAAAATCCACTGACAATCCAAACTGCCGACTTTGCAATGACAAAGTTGAAACTGTTTCACATTTAATATGTGAGTGCAGCAAAATCGCACAAATTGATTACAAAGCTAGACATGACCCAGTTGCTAAATTAATCCACTGGTCATTATGTAAAAAATACGACTTACCTGTATCCAAAAAGTTATGGGAACATAACGTGGAAAGAGTTGTCAAAAATCAAACAAATTTTGTTTGATGGAAATGTTTGAACCAGAAAAGTCGCACTATGTCCAATGTTTTTAACTGTATATTTAATAAAAAACTTTTTTAAAAAAGAAAGAGTTGTCAAAAATGAGAAGGTGAAGAACTTGTGGGACTTTCAAATACAGACAGATTGTCATTTGGAACACAACACGCCAGATATCATGGTTTCAAGGGCCAAAGCGTACAATTTATTGATATTGCTGTACCAGGAGACGCCAGAGTTGAAGAAAAAGAACTGGAAAAAATGATGAAATATCACGACTTGGCCATTGAAACTACACAGTTATGGATGAAACATATAAGAGTGATACCCATTGTCATGGGGCACTTGGTACCATGTCCAAGAATTTTACAAAACACATCAAGAAATTGCAGCTTCCTACAATAACACCAGCGGAACTGCAAAAAATTGTGCTACTCATAACATTGTATATTTTAAGAGGATACTTGGTTGATACCTAGGATACTGGCAGCAACCCTTACCAACCATAAGCACCAGTCAATGGTATTTGTAATTTTTTTAAAATGTTCAGTTGACTGAGTTTCATGTTTAATGATTAAAAGAGATAATAAAAATTGAGCATCAAGTTTCTAAATGGATAAAAAGAAAATGAAACCTAATTTATCCCAATATTATTCACCATGCCTGTCCATAGGTTTATATCCTTGAAAGCCATTCTTGCTTCCATCACATCCATACATTAATTCATACCTTATGTCCTTTAAACTTCTCATTTCTGTCTTTTTCAAACATTCATCAATTCCATCTAATCACTTTCTTGGTTTTCCTTTCCTTAAATCCATTTTTTCTTTCTTTTTTTCTTCATATATCTGTTCTTAATTTGGACTTCCGTAAGCCATCTCAACAATTTTTTTGCATGAGTCACTCATTTTTGCATTCATATTCATTCATTACCCATCACTATTCTTGATCATCTCTCTTCTTGTTTTACCACACATACATTTCTTAAGTAACCCATTGTCACATCATTGAACTTGCCTTTATCTTTCTCCTGACATACCAAACTCTCACTTCCATATAAGAAAGTGGACAGAAGCACACTTTTATATACAGTCATTCTCAATTCTTTTGACAAACAGAATAAACGTGAGTTTTTAAGCCTTGACTAATGCAGAGAGTGCAACAAATAATGGAGCACTTGGATATCATTCATTAATAGTAAAAGGCAAGCTCAGTTCTCTATGATGTGAAATTATAAGTGCTGTATGTATAAAAAGCTTTTCTCAAAGTATCTGTCCCTGATGGCTTAATGTCCCTGCATTCACTTGCAAGCTCCAGTAGTTTCAATCACAACCTTGAATGACTATTAGGTATTTGGGGTTACATTTAGACTCATCACTACTTTGTATCCCATTTCCTTTATCATCCAAGTCCCATTATTAATTGTCATACATTTCTCAGGCTAATTAGCAGGGATTTGGTACCTTTAGGGGACTACTTATAGGCAAACTCCATTGATACTAATATGAATGGAATGTACCATTTCAGCAGGTCTCAAGTGAAGGAAATCTCATTGGTTGGTGTCCGTTTCACATTTTTCTGCTACCTTTAATCATATCCAGGCTACAAAAATCCAGCTGCCCACTAGTTGGCAGCAAAGAGATGTCATTAGATTGTTACAGCTCAGTTATGGTAACAATATTTGTGTGTATCTACAGGTCTACCTACCTGTATCTTGTTTAAAGCAACCTACATATGGAAAAAAAGTTTTCAATTGGCAGGCTGAAAGCCACATGCCAGTATAGTAAGTCGTTCACTGTTTGCTACATATAGAGACAGCTGACTACAAGTTTATGCCATCACCTGGATGTCAGCTGTTATTAATTCAGTAGAATTTCCTTTTGAGTAGACACACAGAAGAATGTACAATTCTTCTGTACATTGTACAAGAAAGTACAATGTACTGTTTTCCTCTGGCAACATAACTGCCCTGTTTCTCTGAAAATAAGACCTACCCCAAAAATAAGCCTGGCATGTTTTTACATGTGCACCTAACATAAGCACTACCCCAAAAATAAGCCCTACTTAAGAGCCTGCACAGCTGGCCACCTGTCCATTCAGTCTGGTTGCTCACCTCTTGCATCTCCCCACCTCTTGACGGCGGCACTGGTGCACTGCGTGGCCTCCTGCCCCACCGCGAGCAAGCAGAAGTAGGCCTCCTGTACATGGAAAAAAAATAAGACAAAAGATAATAAAACCTGGTCTTATTTTCGGGAAAACACGGTAGTTTTACAACTATATCTTCTTGAAAAGGTACAAGGTACACTTGACTAAGGTACAAATGTTTTATTCTAAAAAAAGATTTATAGTGTGTGATAATTGGGTGTCAAATTTTCAACCCATTAGACTTTATTTATAAACGTAACAAAGTTTAAACAATCTATATATTAAATGCCAATGGGGGAAATTCAGACTTCATAATTCCAACCCCCAAAATCGATATGTATAAACAGATATTTGGGGGGGGGGGGGTTCCTTTAGAAAAAACATGTTTTGTTTACATTTAGGATTGAAAATTTTAATTATTTGAAATTTGAGCATTTTTAAAGTAAGGAACACAAGTTTCACCTGAAAAAAAGGCACAAAAAAGATAATTTGATTCCATTACAGACACAACCAAGAGCAAACGCATTGTTTCTGGGATCAAATATGAGAAGCTGCTTCCAGCAAAATACTGGTAGCTATGATGACTGGGCATTTGATTAAGGTGGGAATAATTATCTATGTTTGATCCAACTGTAGGTCCTATCTTCCAACAAAAATTCCAGGGTTTAACTAGGGAAAGTATTTAGGATAGTGCGGCTGTGTAGGGACTTCTGGGAGTTAAAGTCGCCAAGATTGAAGAACACTGCTCTAGAATAAAACAAGGATTCAAATGCCTATTGGTTCCCAGAAACCTATTCCTGGGAGACCCAATCATTACAGAGCACTAACAATCAATCTCTTGAGACCCTTCCTCTTGTAGGATAGAGCTGTTGTAATTTTCAATTCATCCACCTTTTTGAAAGATCTACCCATGGGTTGTTGCTCTAAATTGTACATGTGTACAGATTTTATGTAACTTGAAAATAATAAAGAAATTAAGCAAACTTTTATTTAGGAGACTGATTTTCCCCATTTTTGGAGCTGGGAGGGAAGCATTACATTTTACCTTCACAATACTTTTGGAATGACTGAATAAACTGCAGCCTCGTTGCCCATATGCCACTCAGCTTCTGTCTGTCTTTTTGTTTACACTGGGAACACAATGGAAACCATAGTCCTTCCAATGCATCATTTATAAGTGTATTCTACCTCTGAATGTAGGGACAGAATCAGCTGTATGAATGAGCCCTGTGAATATTGCCAAGACACTGTGCTTTGTTCAGCATTATTCTTCACAATAGATACCACACTTTGGAAGTAATTTTTAAAAGGGAATCAAAATAGTGGTACTTTTAGCCTTTGTTTCTTTTTTTACCACACTGCATTCTCTGTCTCTCATTCAGCAGCTTCTATTATACTGGCAAATTAAATAAACCACTCCATTGCTAAAGAGGCTTGGGCAGGCTGGGGAAGTTATGGCACTGGAGAAGTTGCACTAAACATTTACTATGTGTGTGTTTTTTATTTTTGTTATTTAAGCTCAGGAAAAAGATGTTGATCAACTGACATTAAAGCTTTTTTTTTCTTTTTTCCTTTCTCTTTTGGGCAAAATTAAAAAGGAATATTTGGAAAAAAAAATGTGTTTATCTTCAAAATCGAGAGGTCTCGCATCTGGAGTCCCGAGAAGCTGCGCGGTGTGCAGGTAATGAGCTCGAGTTTTGCTTTCGATCGCTCCGTCTCCAGGCCTTCCTTTGCCGCCTCTCCCGCTCTCGCCCTTCCCGAGCTTTCAGCCTGCTAGAAATTCTGAAGAAAAAAAAAAAAGTTTCTTTTTTTAACGTGAGAATCCAAACACCGCGTTTACTGGTGTAAAGCGGCGCTTGCTTTTAAAAAAAAAAACAACTCAGCCGATGTTCGCCCAGTTCGTTTTCTACTTTTGCATTTTCCAGAAAAGATCATTGGCTAAACAGCTTGGCTCTTCCCGAGCCGCGTTAGATACTAATGTCAAGGTTGCCAGCATGCCAAAAGTGGGAGATGCGGAAAGAGGGCGAGTTACTCGTCTTCCGAGGCTTTTCGTGCAGGCTGACCCTGGAGCCGGAGCCCTGGCATCAAAATCGACCGGGCGGCAAAGAAACGTGGCGCGTCGGAATTTAACCACCCACCCCACCCCCATCAATCGTTTGTGGAGATTGGGCTTGGATTCAAGCCGTGCGCGTTTGGGCAAGGAACAGCCGCAGTTGGAGGAGGGAAGCGGCCTTTTTTGTCAAGGGCGAGCTTGAGTTTGTACAAATGGAAGGTTGTGGTGGGGCAAAATGGGACGGATCGGCCGAGCGAAAGCAGAAGGGACCGGCCTTGTTAGCGCGGGCTGCATGTGCTCGACTGGAGGAAGCGCGATTCGCATGTGGGGAGCGAGAAGTGTTCCTGAGGGGGCACTCCTAAAGCCGCGCCAAAACCGAGAAGAGCCGCAAGCTCCCTTCTCCTTCCCCTTCAAAGCGAAGCGTGTGGAAGGAAGGCCGAACTGGCTGGGAGGGAGGGCGCTTAGGGGAGAGAGTTGCCTTGCTGGGGAGAGCGGTTCGGTTCCTCCGGGCAACTGAATCCACCCACGGGGGGGGGGGGGGGGGGGGGGAAAAAAAAAAGCACCCCCCCGGGGAGATTTTGAAGAAGCCTGGCGAGGAATGGCAGCCATCTCCTTGGAAAGGCCAGGAACCGAAAAGCGAGCGAAGAGACGCAACCATTTAGGGCTCCCACAGCGAAGCCCGCGGGCGCGCGAAGCGCTGAACCAAAGCAATAGGAAGAAGCCCCCAGGCGGGAGTCCCCTTTTCTTACGAAAGGAGGCCGGGAGGGGGTGGGGGAGTTGGGGAAGGAGCCCTGCTGAAATGTGCGGGTATTCGTCCTCTGTCCTCGCCCGCCCCACGCACACGCGCACATCCGTGTGTGATTTGTCTCAGGGGAATTTCAACTCTTTCGACTAATAACTCTTTCTTCCACTCAGACTCTCGCTCGCTCGCTCTGGGTTTCCCCGCTAAAATGTTTCCGAGATCCGTGGAGAATAGAGCGGGGCTGAGGCGAACGCGAAGGTCAGGATTGCCCACTGTGGCGTGACTTTTCAACCAAAGAAGGTTTTAATGCCATCGCTTGCCCTGTCGAGTCTCATTCGGCCCGCATTGTGCTTGGAAGGGTTGGGCCCGCTCGTGACAGGACGGGGGTTAAATGAGATTACAAGCTTTAGAGGTTGTCAGCAACCGCCGCTGCCTGGGGGATGTTAAATCGTGATTTAATGGTCAGCTTTCTCTAGATCGTACCAGAGGGAATCTGTTGTTTTCAGCAACTTAATTGGCCCCGGGTTCTCAGGCGATTTTTTTCCTCCCTTCCCTCGGTTAAGGGGGTGGCGGAGCTGACGATCAGCTTTTGAGGGTGAATTATTTAAAGCGGTGCACACACACAATGGAAATTGGGAGGCTGCGCGGGCGAGGTGGGGGCGGTCTAGAAAGCTGCGCGGGGAAGACGGTGGGTGGCTAATCGTTCCCTTTTGGTCGGTGAAAGGAAGCTTAACGGCAAACCTCGTACTGGGAAGACGAGCTGGAAGAACTGCTTCTGCGATCCTGCGTGGCAGTCAGAATAATGACCCTTTCCCTATAATATGTAAAGGGCAACTTTCCCCCCACCCCCTTTCTTGTTTCAGATTAGGGCATTCGGATTATTGTTCCTTTAAAATAACCATTACAAAAGTGAAACTACTAATTAAACAATATGAGTAGGGAAGGCTAGGCTTTTTCTTCTTCTTTTAAATCACACCCCTCCCCTCCCCAGCAATGGGTTTTCTGACATGAATGATGTCTCTGCCATCTCTTGCCTAAGAAACTCTGGACATGTTCAGAGACTTTCTTCTCTATTATGATTTCATATGGTCCCTGGGCCATGGGAAGTATCAACTTTCTACTGAAAGTAATCCACAAAAAGATCTATCCCGATTCTATGCATATTTTATGCTGTGACAAGAAAACAAACTGATTGTTACGAGTTCAAAAAAGAGAGAGTTTAAGGAAATAGATTTATCAGACTATAAATCTGATAGAAGAAGAGTAGATGTCAGTCCTTTTACAGTATTCATTTACAGGTTTTAAAGGCAGCCATATTAGTTCCCTTGACTCACTGTTGCAGTCTTACGCACATTAAAAAGCTCTTGGAGAACTAAACATCACCTGGCAATATTAAGAATTCCCAATGGCTTATGTTTTCTTTTCTTCCATTTCCCAATCATTAATAGCTACTACAAAAGGATATAATTTTGAGAAGAGGAACACCAAGGAAAGTGAATTTGCGATCCTTTCCTCTAAATTGTCTTGAACTGAAATTCTTCAACATGTAAACACATTTCTAGAACCCCTGCAGAGAGGGCAGTTCAAAATTAGTCCTTAGTGGCTTTCACCTTGTTTGGTTTTAATAGTGGATCTTTAATAGTGAAACTAACAAGTTTCTCCCAAATATGGCATCACTGTCCCATATAGTGAAATTGGGACAGGGAGTTGTGGGTTCCTATCAAATTATTTTAAGCATATAATTCATATGTGTGTCACACTTTTAACAGTGTTTTGAATGCACGCATAGAATAGAATGCAAGCATGGAATTGGCTAGCAAATGAAGTGCATTAATACATATCTGTCCAGGTATGAATTAAGCGGGGATGGGAAAGGAGGATACAGAAATAACACATCTTCAGCATTTTATATTAGGATATATATGTGTTAATAAGTAGACTAAAACTGTGTTATGAAAAAAAAGCACAATTAAAAATTCTTGCAAAATTTCCCATCAAAGAAATAGAAATAATGACTAAGAGGGAAAATGTCTAAGAGAAAGGAAAAAAGAAAAGATACCCATTCAAAGAACAAATAAAGAGAGAATATGCTTTGTAACAAGCCAGGCAATGTTAGTATCGGTTATGCATGAGGTAAGGGTCAGTCCAGAAAGTTCAGGATTAGTACATTTAATATCCTGTCAAATTTCTCATGATAATGAACCCTGGCTGGCCTTCCTGGCTTAGCTGGCACAGCCACTTCGATGCTGCAGCTTAAGAGATAGAGCTGCTTATTTATGGGCAAGAAATTGCAGAGTGTTGGCATGTGCTGAGCTGGTCAGTTGGGAAGCGTGTCATTGCCTATTTAATTTGTTTAAAGTTTGAATATGAAATGGAAATATGAAAAGGAGGAAGATTCACATATATTTTGTTTTAAAAGTGTTTAGCTCTTCTTAAAATAAGCAATGTTAAAATGTCAAGATTCCCTTCACTATATAAAATTAACATTATTTGGGAAAATCAGTCATTTGGGGCTGCATCATAGTTATCTTAAAAAAAACATTGTAGATTTATACTTACAAAACTATGTTTTTATAATATATTTTTTACTTTTTGTTTTTCATTCCTCTCAAAAATAAAATAATTAGCAGGATAATTTGCTGTTGTTTTAAATTTGTAATTATTTGTACTTTTCTAACAGTTGAATATACTATTCAATTTTTTAATAGCTTGGCTGCACTATTTAGTGTTTTATTAACTTGATAATGAAGATTTTTAAATATATTTTCCTTCTATAGTCTATCTCAAAGTTGGATCTAAGTTTGAAATGCTTAATTCCTGTAGGAATGATGAGCATATAATTAAACACCTACAGTGACCAGTAAGGTATCTGAAGTATGGTTACAAATAAAATACGTTTTGCTGCAAGATATTCTTTTATGTGATATGTCTTCTATCATATATTAGTTTAATATAATGCTTAGCATTTATGTAAATCTTTAGACTGTTCAGTGCCGTGCTAACGTCACCGTAATTCTTAAAACAATTCTGTTAGTCCCAAATTATAGAACAGAGATATGCTAAGAGGATGTTTTTCATAAAGTCACATGCTGACTTGCAAGACTTAAGTCTCATCATTGTTTTTAAAAAGGCAAGTCATTTCATCAGGACTATACAGCATTTGTTTTGGAATCAGTCTTATTTAATTTGTTTGGATTTCTTGATAAATACTCTTTGAATGAAGTTGTTTGGTGTTGTATGTACTTGATGCTAAGTCTTATTAAGTTTGCTGGGACTATTTTTAAGTAAACGTGAAGGAGATAGAGCAGAATGCCTTTTAAGTAGTGTAAACCCAGGGGATTTCCTCTTAACCACAGCTTTGGGTCCCCAATCCTTCACTGTGACATTCATGTGATCACACGGGTGTCCTTACAGTTTGCTGCTGAAGACCTTCATCTCCTCCCTCACCAAAGAAGCAATGCCAAAAAAGGGAGTAAAGCTGGTGCTTCAGTGCTTGCCCTTCTTGTTTATATAAGTACAGACCTGTACTTACAGTGAAGAAAAAACAAAGTGCTATTGTGCAGGACAGCTACAAAACCACCTCAGAAATGGTGAGGGGAGGTAAGTTAGCAAGGCATCTGAGCTAGAAGTGAATTGGTTCAGATGCAGAATACCTAGGAAATCTTGTGGCATCTTGGGGTGCTGAAGTAGAGTTCTTGTGTGGAAGCAGCTTTATCTTAAATGAGCCCATTGAAGAATAACTGAGTAAATGGGATTTGTTTCCCACAAAAAGGTACATAGGACTAAAATCATAATGATGATAAGGATGCCTCATGCAGTTGAAAAAGGTGAAATGAACATGATGTTTGTAATAATCCATACTGGCAAT